AAAGTATTATTGTTATTAATTTTATTACGACTTTATTGTCGTAATAACAAATAATAGAAAAAGCTCTAGCTTGGCCCTGATACTCAGTCAAATGGCAGAAACGGGAAAATCCCGAGTCCTGAAAGTTTTCTTTTTTCTCCAGGTGTTAAAGTTGAGGTTAGGTTCTGATGACGGGTCTCTGCACCCTGCTGGTATGAATCTCAGTCAGAACTGTTTCTTCCCAGAACCAATCTCAGATTCTCCAGAACCTTCTTTCAGGTTCAGACTGTTTGATTCAATCCTTCTCATTTTTCCTGTTTGGAGACCTGAAGCGAGCAGCGTTTCCTCTCTCCTCTCCTGTTCTGACGGGATGATGCGTTGGCGGTCCATTAAGAGATTCTGTTCTGGTTCTGTTAGGATTTTGGACCTCAGATGCAGATATGTTGGTCACACCCACTTCCTCCAGACTAGTTTGTTATCTCCTGCTGCTGGTTTACCTGAGGAACATGTTTGTGACTTGATTCTGATCCAGATGCTGATGAAGTCCATTAATGATGCCTCATTCATCAAAGATTATTTATTTCTGCTTCTGCAATTGCAGAGAAGGGTGTTTGAATTCTCTCTGCTTGGTTCTGGTGTTTCCAGAGTGGACGGTTCTCCTCAGGATCCGGATGTTCTGCTCCGGAAGCTGATGGATGCTGAAGCTGCTGCATCTGCAGCTGCTCAGCAGGTCTCTGCTCTGAAACAGTCCGTCTCTCAGCTCTTCAGCTCGGGTGGAAATGTGAGTTTCTGCTCCATATCTGAGCGAAGACATGAACCCGCTGCGTTTGCTCTGAACCGTTTCTTTCCCGCTGCAGAAGTTGTCGTCTTCGGGTTTGGCCCATCAGAAGGACCTGCTGCTGAAGAAACTGGAGACGTTTGAGGCCACGAACCGAACTCTGAGGCAGCTCCTCAGAGAGCAGAGGGAGTCCCAGGTAACACCGGAGGAACCGGGAATAAAAAAGCTTTTTCACAATTTGTCCAGTTCCACAAACTTTAATCCATTTTTATTTGGATATTTGCTGCAGAAAAACTCAGAACAGAAACTAGTGCAGGGAGAAGGGAAAAAAACAACAGTTTACAAAGTTTATGACCAAAAACCTCTGCAAGTTTTTCAGAGAACAATGGAGAACAACCATCAGCGTGCTGATCAGGGAACCCAGCAGATCAGGGATTTTTTTTGTTCTAAAACAACCTTCCAGGCTTTGAATATCTGAGTTCAAATCAGTTCTTTTTCTGAAGGAGGATGGACCACCTTTGGTGGAAATGAAAAGTCGTGTTCGCCACCTAAGCTGAGATATTTTTGTTGGAAACTTGAAAAATTGTGGAAAAAACTTTGCAGGGTGTCCATTTGTGTTTCACAGTTCGATGTACTGAACTCCTCATCCAGAATCAGAACCTGGACATGAACTGTTCTCGTTGTTTGTGGTTTGGTTCTGAGCAGATGGAGTCCATCGGACTGTCAGAGCAGAAGGAGGTTCTACTGAAGAGGCTCGCTGACACAGAGGCAGAAAAAGCTGTGAGTTCTAACGGTTAAGATCTGGACCACAAATGTGTTTTCCTTCATCCTCATCTGCAGCGTCGCTGAAGTTCTGTCAGAAACTTATGATGATGGGGCGTAGAAAACGGCGTGTTAATCTGGGATTTTAGAGCAGATTCAAAAGGTCCTGCAAACTCAAAAATGAGATGAACACAAACGCAAAAAAAAACGAATGCAAAGGAAAAAAAGCGGCAAAGGAGAAAAGCTGTAATCGCAAGAAATTAAGAGGAAGAAGATGCTGTGATCTGCGAAAAAGAAAAGCTGGAAAATAGCTTATTGAAGTGCTTCAGACCACTAGGGGGAGACAATCAGAAAGAGATTTGAGCATCTAAAAATGAATGATGTCATAAAACTTTGAGAATAAAGTCATAAAATTACGAGAATAAAGTGTAATGTTATGAGAATAAAGTCGTTAAGTTACGAGAATAAGTTCGTAAAGTTACGAGAATAAAGTCGTAAAATTACGAGAATAAAGTCGTAAAATTACAAAAAAAAGTTGTAATATTGCGAGAATAAAGTGCTAAAATTTGAAGAACAAAGTCACAACATTACGAGAATAAAGTCGTAAAAATATGAGAATTAAGTCGTAATATTACGGGAAACAAATCGTAATATTACGAGAATAAAGTCATAAAATGATGAGAATAACGTGTTTTATGACAACTCTTACAAGAAGCATTTTTTTTTCAACTTTATTCTCGTAATAAGAAAAATAGAAAAAGCTCCTTATTGCATGCGCTAATAAAGTTTGCATTTGTAATTTAGCGCGTCTTTAAATATGTAATGTCTGTGTTTTGGTCTTAAATGAATTGATGATCATCTCCCCCTAGTGGTCTGGAGAACTTTATTTCAGTTTTTTTTTTATTTGCCTTTTTCTTAATATTTTCAGACAAATTGATCTCTCATATTTAAGCTATAGTCTGCTGTTGAGAAGATTATGAGAATTCAGTCATAACATTATGAGAATAATGCTATAAAACTAAGAGAATAATGTCGTGACATTACAAGAATACAGTCATAAAATTTCGAGAATAAAGTCGGAACTTTACAAGAAGTCGTAATATTAGGAGAATAAAGTTGTAACATTATGAGAATAAAGTAATAAAATTACGAGAATAAAGTCGTAAAATTAAGAGAATAAATTCACAAAAAGAATAGTCATAGAATTATGAGAATAAAGTCGTAACATTATGAGAATAAAGTTGTAATGTTATGAGAATAAAGTCATAAAATAACGAGAATAAAGTCATAATGCTATGAGAATAAAGTCATTAATTTACGAGAATAAAGTCATAAGATTACGAAAATAAAGTCGTAATGTTACGAGAATAAGTTCGTAAATTTACGAGAATAAAGTCATAAAAGTATGAGAATTAAGTCATAATATTATGAGAACAAAGTCATTAAGTTACGAGAATAAAGTCATAAGATTACGAGAATAAGTTCGTAATGTTACGAGAACAAGTTCGTAATGTTACGAGAATAAGTTTGTAAAGTTACGAGAATAAAGTCGTAAAGTTACGAGAATAAAGTCGTAAAGTTACGAGAATAAAGTCGTAAAGTTACGAGAATAAAGTCTTAAAATTACGAGAATAAAGTTGTAATATTACGAGAATAAAGTCGTAAAATTAGGAGAACAAAGTTGTAACATTCCGAGAATAAAGTCGTAACATTACAAGAATAAAGTCGTAATATTACGAGAATAAAGTCGTAAAAATATGAGAATAAAGTCGTAATATTACGAGAATAAAGTCGTAAAATTATGAGAACACAGTTGTAATATTACGAGAATAAAGTCGTAAAAATATGAGCATAAAGTCGTAAAAATATGAGAATAAAGTCGTAATATTATGAGAATAAAGTCATAAAATTATGAGAATAAAGTCATAAAATTACGAGAATGACGTATTTTATGACAACTCTTACAAGAAGCATTTTTTTTTCCAACTTTATTCTCGTAATAAGAAAAATAGAAAAAGCTCCTTATTGCATGTCCTAAAAAAGTTAGCATTTGTAATTTAGCGTGTCTTTAAATATCAGGGCCATAGTGTGTAAAACGGCTTTTCTTTCTTTCTTCACTCCTATTTCTTAATATTTTCAGACAAATTGATCTCTCATATTTAAGCTACTCAGGGACCTTCTGCCGTTGAACGTGTTTCTTTTCACTGTGAGGTGCGGATATGTGACCTCCCTGTCCTTTTTTTTTTTTTTACCAGAACCTTCTTGAGAAGCTTCAGGAGAAAGACAGGGAGCTTCATCAGCTCTCCAACCTGCTGGACTCAGAGAAGGTATCAGGACTAAAACGCATCCAAACCCAGATGAGGCCTGGTTATTATATTGTCTTCTGTTTTTTTATTTTAAATGCAGGTAAATGCTAAGAGCTCAGCAGATTTGTCCAGGACTCTGGAGTCAACCAGAGCTCATCTCCAGGGACAGTTACGCAGCAAAGAAGCAGAAAACAACCGACTCAGCGTTCAGATAAAGGTCAGCTGGAGTTCTTTGACCCGTAGAGGTTTACTTCTACAGCGACCCATGAACTGAGCTTTGCTCCTCCAGAACCTGGAGCGGGCAGCCAATCAGCAGAGGGCAGAGATGGATCATGTGACGGAGCAGCTGAACCGACTGAAGCAGGAGGCGCTGGAGGATCGGGAAGCTCTGAAACGAGCCACCAAAGCTCAGAAACATCGAGCGGCGCGCAGTGAGGACGCTGCAGGACAGCTGAGCGTGCAGCTGCTGCAGATGGTGGGACTGATGCTCCTCCTGATGTCCCCCCACCTGTTAGTAAACCCACCCTGGTTAACTCTGAGGCTGTGTCCAGCAGGAGAAGCAGGTGGATGAAGCTCTGGCAGCAGCTGAGGTCTGGCAGCGCCGACACGCAGAGGAAGCCAAGGAGAAAGGTCAGCTGGAGATGGAGCTGAGTCTGCTGAACAGGTAACTGGATCCAAACCATGTTCAGATGTTTGGTTCCAAAGGAGAACAAAGAGAGAGGCTGAAAATCTGAGCAACAAGAGAAAAACATGTAGATTTATTCCAGGACGGATTAAAATCCTCCATAATGTAGGCTTCATGTTGTTGTTTCCATTTGTTCTTCCTCCTCTCGTGATCCGAATTTTCCAACTTTGGAATGTTTTCTTTTGTGTTCTATCAGCCGGATCTCGGAGCTGAGCGAGCAGCTGCAGAGCGTGCAGGAAAGGGGTCGATCGGAGAGGGAGGCGTTGCTGGATCGCCTGCATGGAGTGACCGCAGAGAACGCTGCTGCTAAACTGGAGAACCAGAACCTAAAGGTAGGGTGGATATGATCTGAGCTCCGCTTCTGGATCTCCTCCTGATCTCTGAAGGCATAAAACGTTGGGTCTTTGCGCAGGCCTCGGCATCTGCAGCGGAGGAGAAGCTGAGCTTGTCTCAGTCAGAGCTTCAGCAGGTCAAAGCCACCATCAGGCAGTATGAGGCTCTGCTGGACAGCTATAAGATCCAGGTACTGGAGGTTCTGTAGAAGTTCCGCTGAGACCAGAACCAGCAACGCTCAGGGTTTATTTCCTGTCCAACAAACTCTGCAGGTCGGGAAAACCCGGGCCGAAGCCGAGCAGTGCTCTTCCCAGGTGGCTCAGGCAGAGCGGGAGGCCCAGTCGGTGAAGGAGGAGCTGGAGAAGGAGATCGAGGAGGTGCGCAGGGAGCTCCTGGGTCGGCTTTCGGACCTGGAGGCTCTTCCGGAGTCTTTGCGGCGCTGCCAGCTGCAGCTGCAGGACGCTCAGGATCAGGAACGTCTCCTGGAGAGACGGAACGTGGAGCTCAGCACCAACCTGACGGAGCTCCGTCTGAAGGTCACAGCAGGTTTCTGCTTTAAACTCAGTAGAACATCTCCACATGATCAGCTGCAGCACACGATGGACATCATCTCTGCTCATCTCTCACTGAGATTCTGCATTTTCACAGATGGAGACCCAGGGACACCAGATGGATCTCCTGAGGCAGAAGAACAAAGTTCTGATGGAGGAGAACCAACAGCTTCAGCTCAGAGCGGAGTCTCTGGACCGGTCAGTGACTTCCTCATTCAGAACAAACACTAAACTCACATGTTTGAGAACTTTGCTCTTTTTGTGTGAAAAAGCTGCTAGAAAGATTCAGCAGCCTTCAGCCTGAACCGAATCCTGGTCCGACCATTAGCTCCAAGTCCTGTTCCCTCTCCTGTCATCCATCAGGAAGCTGGAGGAAGTTTCCAGCCAGAACTCTGACCTTCTAACCGTCATCTCCAAACGCAACAAGACCATCCGCAGCAACCAGCTCTCCCTGGAAGAGAAGACGAGAGAATGTTCCCTGCTGAGCCGGAAGCTGGAGGCGGCTCTGGACGACGCCCGCCAGCAGGTGTCTACACGGCCCGCCGTCTCTGAGCCGAAAAACGGAGGATAAAACCACAAAACGACCTGGGGAAAAAAATCAGGAATAAGAATCTGTAATCAGTCAACATAGAACCGGAAAAAAAGAGAAGGAAAAACGGTCAGACTGGAAAAAAATTGAAATATAGAAGTTTTTTTTCTTAAAATAAGGAGGTAAAAGAGACATTTTGCCAAAGGAACAAGACAATTTACACTTAAAATAAGAAAACACAATTGCATTGTGTTATTTCAAGTGCATTTTATCTAATTATCTTATTTTAAGAGTAAAAATATTAATTCAATTGGCAAACTATCTCATTTACCTGCCTCAAATTAAGGTTAAATGCACTTCATTTAAGAAATTCTTACTTATGTCTTGATCGTTTTTCCAGTGCAGAATTTGGCTAAAGTTTAAAATAAATTTAATGTGATAAAACCTAGAATACATCAGGAACAAATTCATGTTAAAATGACAAACAGGAATAAAACCTGGAAGAATTTGATATGAAAACAGCAACTAAAGGATTTAATCTTAACAGATTTAACTTAAAACTACAAAAAAGGACAAACTCAGGAAATATGTAGATTAGAAAGTAAAATTAAAATTTGAATGAAACCACGACTGAAACAGTTAATCAGATTAATCGACTATTGAAATAATCTAATTTAGTAATCGATTAATCATTATCTGGAGTATAGAGACTGTAAAATATGCAGTAACTATACCAAGATTGTAAAAACAAAATATGTAAATATTTTGCATTTAGGTTAAAAAAACTTTTTGTCTGTCAATATTCTCTATCCAGAACTCCTCAAGTGGAAAAGTTTTAGTTTCACCTGGTTTAGTTTCATAAAAAAAAATCTTCTTTAAGGAACCGTTGGCTATTCGATTATTAATCAGAAAATATTAATCAACAGATTAAGTTTGCAAAATATTCGTTAGTTGCAGTCCTAGATGAAACCACAATAAAATTCTGATAGAGGTTTGAGAAAATTGAAACAA